CCCTGTCTCCTTCTCCCCTTTGTCTCATGCATGTATGGGCGTGTGTGAGTACTTCTGAGTGTGAGTGGCAATCAAATTGTCAGACAACCAAGTTCGTAACAGTTGGTATCAGAGCGGAGTCTGGAATTGGAGCTCAGAGGGTTGAGCGCAACAACTGGCGAGAAGATCCATGGTGGTTCTCCATCTCCAGTGACTATCCAGTAGGGAAGAAGGGATACAAGCGGTGATTGCAGGAACATCAGTTGCGATTGATCAGGCACCCTAAGCCTGTCTGAGTGCCTGATTGGAGGTGGCGAGAATAGGGTTATTTCGCTATCCACCCTCCTGACCTCAGTTGCTGACTGGGTCTAGGGTGGCAAAATTTACCCTAATCCAGTGATTACTGGGTGGCGGCTTCATTCCCAGTGTAGCGCTGAGGGAGGATTGATCGCAGGATCACCTCCTGCTAAATTAACCCTACTCAGGGCTAAATTTAGCACCAGCGGCCCATACCCTGCAGTGGCGAGATACCTTCAGGAGAGTTCTCTCTCGCCACTGGGGCAGATTCAGTGTATCTGAGAGTTGGGGGTGAATCGCCTCGTCATACTGGAGCGGATCAATAAGTTTCAGGGGATTCTGTACGTGGGAAGCTCTGGAAGACTGTCTGCAAGTACTGGCGAGACCAGGGTTTGGCAGCCATAGCCAAAGCTTCATCATCTACTGAGGGTTACACTTCAAGTGAGTTCGTTCTGTATGAATCCCTGAATAGCGATTAGTATAGAATTAGTAAAGATAGGATTGATGGTCTGTCTGACAGTACTGTAACAATCGTGAAATTGTCAGACTGGAGGACAACCATATCCATCTTCTTCCTCCCTACCCTGACTCATATCTCTTCATCTACTGACCTGTTCTGACTCCAAATTGTTCTGGGACTGCTTTACAGTATTGTGTTGCATCTTGTATGCTCATTCTGTGAAGTCTGTACTGAAAAGACAGTGATATTGTGGATTTGAGTTTTGCGCTGAGTCTATTTAAAGTCTAGTCTACCTAGGGTCAGTCATAACTCAAAATCTGACCGTCAGAATTCAAGTCTGTCAGTCTGGGGTGAATCGCAATTCTATTTGTAGCAACCCTGCTGAAGCGCTAGTCCAGAAACACTGTATTTGGGTCATTACAGTGCATTCCTGAAATTCGCCATATCTGGGGTAATTTCTGTTGATGTCAACACTGGTGAAATTTGAGTCTGGGGTTGTCAGGGAGTAATCTACTAAATCGCTACTACCTGTCGCTGTGTTTCAGTTAATTCTTGCCTACCCCTACCAATACTACTAATCTACTCTGCTTTCTGATGGGCTCTGGAATACTAGTGACCCCTGGAATGTTGTGAAACTGCATGTTGTAACTTCAGTAAAGGTTCAGTGTCAGGTGTAGGAAATCGTTAGTGAATGGTTTTACTGAACACCCTGTCAGCCTGACTACTGACTCCAGTGGTTTCATTCCAACCCTAACTGCTTGTGCCCACTAACCCACATTGCTTTGTGAACTGACAGTGCAGCGAAATTTGAGTGTTTGTGTGATCTGTAAATCGTTGCACCCCCTGCTGTTTCATTTTTGTTTTATTGTTGTTCTGTGAGGGAAAATGTCTGACGCAGCTGACACAGGTGCAGGGAAGGTGGAGGTCGTGATCAAGGCTGAAGGGGAACCCTCAACCACAACACCTCCTCCCCCTCCCCTGACCCCTGCGCAGTGGCGCAAGAGAGAGATACAGGAGCAGTTGCGGCAGCAACAGGCGCTGCTCGCAGAAGCCGAGAGACAGGAGGCAGCAAAATTGGAGGCTGCAACAGATGCATCTCGCAAGGAGCACCTGCTGCAGCAGGCCGGGAAAACTGTTGCTGATACGAGGGTGGCCCAGTGTACCAGAGACCTGGCTGAGCTGGTACTATTGCAAGAAAAGTTGACAGCCGACCATTTCACAAACTGGGATGAGCATATCCAGAGACTGGAGACTCGTGTGGCTGATCAGGGAACTCAGCAGACCAAGATTCTGGACTCCATCCAGAACTTGACTGCTCAGTTAACAGCAGCCAACATCATCAGTCCCCTGGTCCCTGTGGGACCCTCACCAAAGCCCAAACAGTCTTCCCCTCCTCCTTCTCCACCTCCTGGCTCCTCCCATCATTCTCAGAAGTCTTCTCCCTCAGTCACCTCCCAGGCCAAAGCTACACCTCCTCCCACCTTTGCTGCTGTTGTTGCTGGGGACTCACGAGGTCCCAAGATTCCTGCCCCAAGCAAATTCAAGGGGGATGACCCCAAGATTGATGTGGGGGACTGGACAGCTGGAACCCGGGCCTATCTGAAAGGGTTTCAGTGCCCAGAGCTGCAAAAGGTGGCTACTGTTGTGGGTCTGCTGGAGGGGCCAGCCCAAAAATGGGCTACCTCTACAGCAAGTGCCCAGCAGCAGACTTTGGAGGATTGGGCATTGGCACTGGGGGCTGACAAACTTTTGCAGGCCCAAAAAGATCGCTTTGCAGACAAAGAGAGGCCACGCAAGGCTGCTGACCGGATCGTACGCCTGGGCCAGCAGCGATATAGCGGCAGTCTGCAGGCGCTGTTCGCTGAGTTTGAACAGCTGACATCCACCCCTGGATTGGTTATGTCTACACATGACTTGTTGACTAACTTTTGCAGGGCTGTGCCTGAAAAGTTTTGTGTTGCTTTGTACAGCGCCGGGCACAAAGACTGGCGCTCATTTGGACACGCAGCACTGGACATGGAAGCCAAGCTTCATGTCCAGGCCCCCTCCAGTGACAAGAGGAGAGGCGCCTTCCCTCGCGGTGGTAGAAAGGGAAAGGCGGCCTTTGCATACGCGGGTTCTGGGACATCATCTGATGCAGGATCCCGGCCTGGTACACTGCCAGGTGGGACTGCAGCAGCTGCTGTTCCAGATGTTGCAGCAGTGGTCCAGCAGCTGCAGGCTGCGTTGGGGGCCTTCCAAAAGGCCGGATCCGCCTCCAGCACAGCCTCCAGCAGCAAGGGGAAGAGCCAGGGACGTCGCTCTTCAACCCCTGCCCGGCGCCTTAATCTGCCACGTGACGTCCGTTTCCCAGCAGACCCTCTGAACCCCAACACTCTCCCATGGCATGATTTGAAGATCTAGGAGGGAGTGTGGAGGAAGAGGAAGGAGAGAGGTATCTGCTTGAGGTGTGAGGGACAACACTTCTTGAAGGACTGTCCCTACATGCCAAGCCCAGCTCAGTCAAAAAACTGAAGCTGAACCTGGAGACAGCAGTTCCCTCCAGTGCTGCAACTGCATCTGTAGCTGCAGCAGCTTCAGTTGAGACTTCCTCCTTCCCATCCAGTGTGGGAGCTGCGCGGGCAGCATCCTTTATCTATGAGGATCCTGACCCGGATCAGGAACTGGACCAGTCTGAGTGTCAGGCTCTTGCTGCTTTCTTCTTTCACCTGAAAGAACAAAAGCAGAACAAGTCTGATCTCATCCTGCTTCGACCCCTGATCAACCATCGCAGGATCAAAGGGCTATTAGACTGTGGAGCCACTCGTAACTTCATGTCTCCCAGTGCAGTCCAAAAACTGCATCTGGGCATGAAAGTGGTGCAACTGCAGCAACTGCTGCAGGTCCGCATAGGGGACTCCACTGTTCTGACCATCAGGGAGAAGGTCAGGGGCATCCCTGTTACCTTCGACAGCGCAGGAGAAGTCAGACACAGTCTGAACTTCTACATCTTCCCTGACCTACCCTTTGACCTCGTGTTCTCTATGCAGTGGCTGAGAGCAGTTATCCCAAGGATCGACTGGCAGATCCCCAAGGTTGAACTGCCAAACAGCAAAGGGGTGTATTAGCCTTGCATGATTGCAGCTGATCACCACCCTCAGACATCTTGCTTCTGCTTGAGAGCGAGAGAGTTATATGCTCTCTCTCGCCAGTACGATCTTGAGCGCCTGTTCATTGCTCTAGTCAAGCAGACCGACGCTCCCTCTACTCCCTGTTCTCCTGAGATACAACAGGTTGTGGACCAGTATGCTGATCTGATGCAGGAGCCCTTTGGGTTACCCAACCGGCCAACCAAGCATCATATTGAGTTGCTGCCTGGGGCGGTTCCTCCCAAGGGCCGCATCTACAGGATGTCACCTGTTGAGCTTGAGGAGCTCAGGCGACAGCTTGAGGCCCTGACCAGCAAGGGCTGGATCAGGCCCAACACTTCTGAATTCGGTGCTCCAGTCCTCTTTGTTCCAAAGGGGAGTGGTGAGTTCAGAATGTGCATAGACTACAGGGGTCTCAACAAGATCACTACGAAGAGCACAGAGCCACTCCCTAGGATCGATGACCTTCTGGATATGGTCCAGGGCTGCACCATCTTCAGCAAAGTCGACCTCAAATCTGGCTACCACCAGGTTGAGATGGCAGAGGAGGACGTCCACAAGACGGCCTTCAAAACCAGGTATGGTACTTATGAGTACCTGGTGATGCCATTTGGACTTCGCAATGCACCTGGCACATTCTAGACCGAGATGCACCGCATATTCAGGCCGTACCTGGACAAGTTCATGGTTGTTTACCTGGATGACATCCTGGTATTTAGCAGGACTGCCAGGGAACATGCGGAGCACTTGACTTTGATTCTTCAGGCATTACGTGACAGCCAGTATAAGATCAACAGGGAGAAGTCCTCTTTTGGAGTTCCCTTTGTTATCTACCTGGGTCATGTGATTTCTGGAGATGGGCTGGCCCCTGAAGCAGCCAAAGTTGCTGCTATTTAGGATTGGCCACAGCCCCAGACAGTGAGAGATGTCCGGTCATTCTTGGGTCTGGCCTCCTACTACAGAAAGTTCGTCAGGAACTTTTCTGCAGTGGTTGCACCCTTGACTAACCTCACCAAGAAAGACACTCCCTTTCTTTGGTCCCTCCACTGCCAGATGGCCTTTGCACGACTCAAACAGGCCTTGACTCGTGCACCTGTTCTGAAGTTGCCTGACCCCACTTTGCCATTTGTTCCCACCACGGACGCTAGTCAGTATGACATTGGGGCAGTCCTTCAGCAGGATGATGGTAATGGTCTGAGACCTGTAGAGTTTATAAGTAAGAAGATCAAAACTCAGAAGCTTCAGGACTCTACCTACGAGAAAGAGTTGTATGCTCTTGTCAGTGCCCTGAAACATTGGAAGCACTTTCTCCTGGGCAGGCACTTCCTCCTGGGCAGGTACTTCAAGATCTTTTCTGATCATTCCACCCTGCAGTGGTTGAAGTCACAGGGAGAGTTGAATGATAAACTGACACGCTACATTCAGTTCATTGATCTGTTTGACTTTGAACTGAAGCATAAGAAGGGTTGCTACAACAAGGTAGCAGATGCCCTCTCTCGTAGGCCTGACTCTTTTGCTTTGATCTCCTCTACTCACTCCTTTGGAGAGGAGGTCCGTCAGACCATCGCTCGTTTGCTGCCTCAGGATCCGGCTTATGGACCCATCGTCAGGAATCTGCAAGCAGATCCTTATTCTGAACCTGGCTATGCCCTGAGTTCAGATCTGCTGTATACTTACAGCAAAGGAAAGGAGCGCTTGTGCATCCCTGAGGACCAGCAGCTGAGGACACTGCTGATGTCAGAGTGCCACGATGCGCGTGGACACTTTGGGTTCCTAAAGTCATATGCAGCCCTGTCGCAGCGCTTCTTCTGGAAGGAGATGCGGAGTGATATGCTGCGCTATGTGGACACCTGTGAGCTCTGCCAAAAGAACAAGGTTCAGCGTAAACCTCCTTTGGGATTGCTCAAACCTTTGCCCATACCTGATGGTCCTGCCCAGTCTGTATCCATCGACTTTACAGACTTAGGCAAGACTACCCCTCGTGGCATGCGTCAGGTAATGGTCTGCGTGGACAAGTTTTCCAAATACGCAGAGTTCATCCCCTTGCCAAAGGTAGCCAGGGTACCGGCTGTGAGAGCAGCCTTTTCTGAGAGGTGGGTCACACACCATGGACCGCCCACTTCTATTGTGAGTGATTGAGACCCCAGATTCTGAAGCGATGAGTGGCAGTCCTACTGCAAGGACTATCTGCACTCACGCCTGGACATGACTTCTGGTCGTCATCCTGAAGCCAATGGATTGGCTGAGGTGATGAACCAGGTCCTGTTCCAGTTGCTACGTCCTGTGATCTCTCCTGATCAGCAGGACTGGGATCTCCACTTGGCGAGGGCACAACTCATGTATAACATGTTTGTCCACTCCTCGACAGGGTTCAGTCCCTACGGGTTACATGGGGGACGTGAACCACGACAGCCTCTCGATGACATCATCGATAAGGCTAAGCCTGACCTTACCCCAGGCACGGCAGAGTTCGCCAGACGCTATCATCTGGATGTGGAAAGAGCCCGGACGAACTTGTTCAAGGCCCAAAAGGCCATGATTGAACAAGCCAACCGCCACAGGCGGCCTTCCCCCATCCGCACTGGTGACTATGTCTGGGTGGCCAGTTCTGAGTTGTCAAGGGAGGAGGATATTTCTCCTAAGCTGTTGCCACGCTACCTGGGTCCGTGGCAGGTCCTATATACAGTGGGCGCCGATCCCTTCGGTCCGTCGTATGTCATCGACGTCCCGCTGCATCTACGCACCCATCCGGTCTTTCATGCATCCAAGCTGCTGCCTTTCATCCCAGCTGATGCATTCCCTGACCGGCCCCCTCAATGGGGCCCACCAATCCCTGGTAAGGGATATGATGTGGTGGCCATTGAGGACGAGTGGGGCACTGGCCCCGGCCGGCAGTATCTTGTCAGGTTTGCGTTCCAGCCTCCTTCTGAGAACCGGTGTTTCTACAGAAGAGACCTGATCAAGACAGCCAAGTCAGTTGTTTTGAGATACGAGGCGGCTCAGAAGGGTAATCTCCCTCGCCGATCTCCTCGTCTCCACCCTTAGCTCGGAGGTCCTCGCTCCCCCGGGGGGTAAGAATGTAATGACTTGCTGCTTGCTGCCGTATCTGCTTGCGGGGTTGTACTCTACGGTGTGGTTTTGCCTTCTGAGTTGCGGCATGTTTGTTACTGTGTGATTGCTGTGTTTTTGTGGTCGCACTGAGGGTTGTCCGCTGTTCTAAAAATAAAATAGAATTAACAGCGGTAGAGTTTGAGTGTTTGCAGGCCCTAAGGGGCACTGCGCCCTAAGTGYTGTAGGACTGCTGTAGAGRCCRGGTAGGCCYTWAGGGCAACGGTACCGGYAGTAGTTTCGGTCCGGTAGGTTAGGCCGAAAACTATAGGTAGGGTAGGACCGATAGTTAGGGACTTTTGGCTTTTCATTTTTCGCGTGCAGCGTTGGTGGCCAACCARGTGAGCAGCGCTGAAGACCCACAGCGGCACCTGGGGTTYCAGCAGCGGTGAAGCAGCCATAGCTGGGGCTGTACTCAGCGCATCTATCCCCTGGGKATATCTGCGTTGGCAGGGCTATATCGGAGGTCTTCACTGAGTACATGTGGGTACTAGTGCTGCGGTAGCAGCCAGGCAGCCATAGCTGCCTTCTKCATCGTCAGAGTGACTCATYGGCACKGGGGACTACTTCGCTGTTCATGAYCTGCATCTGGGTGTATGGCGCTGGCCTCTGGGAGGCTGTTACTRTGCAGCGCTAGACTCTGAGAGTGTAGTAGTGAGTGGAGTGTGTGGTTCTGGAGTGGCGAGATACTGGGTTGAACTCTGTTACGATAATTGAGGTTAACTRTGTTGAGTTGGCTCATCATCTGGGTTAATTTCCAATTGTGATCTTCGCAGTGTCAATTGTGATTGGTTGTTGGGAGTGTGTCAGGGAGAGAGAAACACTRAGTGTGTTCTCCCCTTCTGTGCATATTTGCTATTCCGCTGTTTATSTCTGATCGGTGTGCAGTTGGACCCTGTCTCCTTCTCCCCTTTGTCTCATGCATGTATGGGCGTGTGTGAGTACTTCTGAGTGTGAGTGGCAATCAAATTGTCAGACAACCAAGTTCATAACACTCCCCTGTAAAAGTCGGTGATTCATTGCCCCAGAAATCAAACACACACACCAGCTTTTTATATCGAAAATTATGCCCAAACAGGATGCCCCGTCCACCAAGGCGGCATGAGGTTTGGAGATAACCACTGTTCGGAAAATCAGCAATCAGGTTGTTGAAAAAAAATAGAAACTCGACAATCAGGGACACTAAGGGCCAACTCTTTTCCATGAAACAAACACTCCGGCTGGCTATCGTGGTTCAAAAAGGAATATTTATGGTAGGCGACCTTCGGCACCCAGGGGGCAAGAAGTGGGGGACAACAACACAACGAAAAACACAGCTCAAATACCAAGCGTCTTAGTCCATGGTTTGTTTTATGTTGGGTCGGGGCTATGAGAGGGCTGCCTGACGTCCTTGGTTCATGGGGTCGTCTGGGTGTTGATGCATTCGAGTGTTCATCTGTCTTTTGGTCCAGCATTGCGCATAAATACAGACTAGTTTCCCAGTAGCTCAGTAGGTTGACAAGGGAGATTGCATCGATGAGGTCATGTGTTTGAATTCCCGTTGTGGGATGTACGCAGGGGTATTGATAAGATTACGGCTCTGCTAGGTAAGAGGGTAGAGTCAAAGAAGGGAGAACGGATCAGGAGGGATCGCGTTGCTAGTTGGAGATCTTGGGGGGTTCGTCCACTAGACACGGAGGGGTTTGTTAGGAGGGCCATACACTCATAACGCGAACAGTTGAGGAGATGAAACTTAGTAGGGGGCGATGGCCGGTTAGGGTGGGTGGGGGGAACGAATCAGGTGGGATCCCGTTGCTACTTGGGGATCTTGGGGGGGTCAGCCACTAGGCACAGGAGGGTTTAAGTAGGAGGGCCGTAGACTTATAACACGAACAGTTGACAAGATGAGACGTAGTAGGGGGCTATGGCCGGTAGGGTAGATTACCTGCTTCCCACGCTCGTCCAAAAAATAGCTCACAACCAACAACGATACGACGGTAGCAATGACAACAGTGTACACAGTGAACAACCTAACAACCAACGGCAGTAACAACAGCTGTGTACACAATGGTAGGAATACAGATAGGTCCACCTATGGGACTGGCAGAGAAATGCCTATACCTAGCGCCCGAGGTACCCGTGCGGCTGGGCTCGTTCGACTATGGAGAGCCAACGCAAAACGACACGCCGCCCGATGCGGAGAGGCAACGCAAAACTACACGCCGCCCGATGCGTCTGCGACCGACAAAAAAGAGAATGGGGAGACAACGCAGCGACGCACCCACACGCGACGAAAAATGGAACGAAGCAAGGGAAAAAAAAAAAAAAGTACCCACACAAAACAACGCACCCTCCTATTGGCCGGCAGGCACTTCTACATGTTCGCCCGCCGTCGCCCCACCCCGACCGTGCTTCTCTCTCATTTCTTGGCGCGCAGTGAACATTCCGGTACGCAGTGCCCCTCTGCATATCTCCTCCCTCGATCCCCGTGATGGTTGAATATTTTGTTGTGGTTATTGGACTCTCTCATGTTCTGGCTTATCTTCGCGGAAATTTCCTATGGTACGCTTAGATACGCTATTGCTATGTCAAAAAGAGAAGATGAAAATAGATGCTCCAGGCATGCTACACATGGTCCTCCCTCCCTCTAATATTCCTATCTTATGACCCCTTTCTTGATGTCTATGCATCTCTCTTGTTCTACCTCTTGCCATGCTCTAACCCTACCATCATTAGGGATATATCATTTGCAAACAGGGAGCAGATGGGAATGGCTTCCACGGGTGTTGCTGCAATTTGGATCCTTGCTCACTCTTTGTTCATTATGAGATTGACCGCCACTGGAGGGAGATCTCAAGGGCCAATGCCCCATTTATATAGACTCTAGTTGTCGCTGTTTGGTGGAGGATTGTCGCCCATCCCCTGAACATATTTTCCCAACGTAATATCAATGGAACAGGGCAGCCTGCTGCACCAGGGAAATGCTGATCTAATAGGTCTGCCTGATGATGCCTGAGTCTCCAATGTATTAGGGGGAGCACCACTTGCCGGAAATCGTCATAGAGAACTGCCTGGTGAATCATAGGCAGAGGAGAAGAGGACAACAAACGAGGGGCTGTGACAGAGTTGAAGTTTCACCGACTCATTAGGAGGGTGAACCCCCTACGGTCTGCAGAGTCCCCTAACCAATGAAACAATGAGTGATAGTCCACCTTAACCCCAGTTGTGGTTAAGCATCAAAGACTGCCAACAACTGATACCTTGCAAGAACTGAATTCTAAATCTGCTTTAGGGAGCACTAAACTCTACGCCGAACAGATCTAGATCCAGCAGTCAGGCCCGCTATTCTGCTCTCTCCGAAGAGAAAGAATGACGAAAGTTGAAGCAGACTATCACTCAGGCACACCAGACAAAATTGAAATTCTACATATTGCAGGCTGATAGCAGCTGCCCGATAATAAGCCAACAACCCCCATGACGTTTGTGGGTGATAGCCTTGATAGGCATCAATCTCTTGACTCTTGGGATGATTACGTTATTAACCACACAGACAAGTGGAGCCCCACGGGTAGGTATGATATTGGAAAACAAGGGGTGCAAAGCACTAGCCCCAGAAATGGAGGCCTACCTGTTCAGAATGCCTCCAATCCACTGGTATCTCAAATCAATCCTCATCAGATCCAGTTGACGCATCCTCCTTTTCTTCTTCATCTTCCTCCACAACAAAATGGATGCCTAGTGCCCCAACAGCACATGCCTTTGCTGCTATAAAGTTACAAATACACTCAACTTAGGCATAGACGCCACTGAAGCTCCCCACCAATAGACTGAAGCAGCCAGTGGACCTGCTAGAGGGGATTGCTCGTATCACCTCTCTCTCGTTGGGGCTGATAGGAACTTCATGCTGACAGCGGGGTTCGGCTCAGCGGAGGCAGTGAGAGGAGAAGAGGAAATGAGGGGAGAGGAGAAGAATACATGGAAGAAGGGGAGGGGTGGAGAGAAATAATCATCAGCGTAGTCATCATTATCCATCATCTTTGTGATCATCTCAGGGTACTCGTCAAATTTCATCATCAGAAAGTTTTGCTGATCAGGATTCTGATATTATCAGATCCTTGATTTCTGGTTGGCATTCTAGATTAGGTAATTTCCTAATTGAGTCTTCTTGTGTAATGGCCAGGTTGAGTTGGCGCCAGAACGACGCTAGCCGGCGCTGGGGCTGTGCCCTGTAACCTGCTTGTGTAGGAGCTTGAGGCTTTGTTTAGAGGTCTGGAATTGCCGAGGGAGGAAGGCAATCTGCAAACTTGACAAATGGCTACAATCTGGCCGACGATGGTCAGAGCTAGGGTGGGTAGCGCTGCCCTGTAACCGAGCCAGATTGGGGTGTGAGACCGGGAAGAGGCCTGATTGGTGCACAGCACGGGCTCAATTGTGATTGGTTGTTTGGAATGGATACAGGAAATTAGGGATAGGATAGTAATTCGGTGCTGATTAGACAATCTTTCTGACTAGTCATCATCTAGCTCTATTTCATGACCTCAATCACCCACTCTGACATCCTAAATCATCCAAAATGATCCTCAATCATCCCAAATTTTCACAATTGTCAATCATCAATGTATTCCCATTATAAGGGACACTGGGCCCGGTTCCCAGCACATGATGCTCCCCACGAATAGATTGGAGCAATTTATTTATAAAAAAAAGCAAAAAAAAAAAGCAGAGACCGGCTGTTGTTTCCCAAAAAAAAAAAAAAAAAGACCAAAAATTCGGAAAAGGTAGTCCCGACTGATACACTAACGTAGCTGAACATGTCTGTGTGAACTGGAGAAAAACTGAGGAGCTGCAGAAAAAATGAGCAACTGCAGCACAATGCAGCAGAATGCAGCAGAAAACTGGGTAATGTGGGGCAAAGGGGTGGAGGGAGAGATTGTCTGCTTAAACCACAAGTACGTTTCCCAGCCACTTTTCTCCGACGCGGCTGTCAATGCGCCGCAACTTTCGGGGCACGGCCTACTGAAGCTAAATGGGTGGCGGTCCAAGCCAGAAAAGAAAACACACCACCTTGTTTTTTATTGGGCGCGCAGGGCATTTCTAGGCTCGGCAAGGTAAGGGTCATAACTTCTCACAAGTACTGGTTGTTTAGGACACTTG